CTCCCAATAAAATGATTAAAAAAAGAAAGAAAGCTGTCTTTTTCCCTTAGAGCAGCTGGTGGTTTAGAACCACTAACTAACCACTACACACCACCAGGACTCCTAAGAAGCCGAGAGGCGGGGGGAGAGGGGGTCCTTAATCAAAGGAGTGACCAGGCTGTTTTCTTACTCCATAATGTCTCCGGAGGCTGAATAAGGGGCGTACTGCATGTGGAAGAAAGGAGGAACCCCACAGAGGGCACCCCAACAGGCCAGGGGACAGGGGACACTGTCTGCACCAACACTTAGCAAGGAAGGAAGTGAGAGGGAAGGAGCCACACCTGGGGTGCGCGGGGATTAGGTCAATGATCCAGCGGCTGGCCTTGACCCCCTTCCCCAAGACGAAGCCCCAGGGTCTAAGATCAAGCCGAGGAGGCAGGCAGGAGGGGGGAAACCTACAGTTTGCATTTGTTTTTGAGGAAGAGACCTCTCACCTTGAGCCGGTAACTCCTGTGTGATGTGGACTTCTCCCTCAGCAGCTTCTGCATGGACACTGCCATCCAGTGATCTGTTTGGAGGAAACCCAAGGTCCGGATCTCGAGCTCTGCCCCTTGGCCCAAACAGCAAGCCCTCAGAAAACGCCACGAGATGGTTTGCCTCAGAAAGCATTGCCTTCCAAACTCACAGGAGCCTCCCTGTATCCTGGTGCCTCCCTCCCCCAGAAACAGACGCCCCCCACCCCACCCCTGCCCCGGCTGACTGACATACTACCCAGAATCCCCTGCATCCTCACTCTCCTGCCCTCATGCCTTTGCTACAAGAGGCAATGAATTGAGGTCCTGAAGTGGAGCCGTGGGAGAGTTTGCCATCGTGCCTCCAAGAAGAAAGGCCTCCTGGTGCGGAAAACACAAGTTCCAAGAAGTGTCCACATCCCACACAGGCATCGAAACCCCAGCGTGCTTGCAACGACGGCAGCCGGCCCGGCGCAGTGCCCAGCCCAGCCCTGCCTTTGCGGGGCTTAGAGTCTTTGACCAGGGAACCCACCCCATCTCCAGGGCTAACACCAGCAGCACTCCCTGCCAAGTTAGCTAGGCATATGGCACCAGGGGGTGGAGCCAAGAGTGCCAGGGGACACGCCCTGGGAGCAGTGTAAGGAGATGAGTCAGAGATGCCAAAGCAGGCTGCCTTCTGGGTCATGGGGGTGGAGGGTGGGGGGCGCGGGTTCCCAGAGAAGAAGGGAAAAGGCAGGGGGTCTGGGGGCACATGACAAGTATTTCAGTGCACAAAGTCCCCAGCTCCCTCAGGGCAGACAGAAGCTTGCAAAGGAAATGTCAGAGAGGGTGTGTGTTATGCCCAATAGAAAGCAGCACAGGGTACCCGTGGCGCAGGAGAAAAGCTGTTTGTCTGCCTGTCTCTCTCCCAGGGCTCCGATCCCCGGGAGAGGAGGAGAGGCACAGTCACAAGCACTCACGAGCTGCCTGACACGGCACCCTCTTCATCCACGCAGCGCCAAGGCCATGCACCAGATATGGTCGTGCCTGCCTGACTGGCAAGCAAATTGAGGCACAGAGAGAGGAAGCAACTGGCTCCTGGTCACTCAAAGCTGGGTCCACCCATTTCTCCCCAGTTCAATAGGCTGGACCACCTTGTCTTCAGTCTGTTCCTCTCGGCCCAGCCCTCGATCAGCAGGTGGTATAGAAGGACCCTGCCCAGCACTCCAGCTGCATCTGCCTCCCTGGACATCCTATCCTCCCCCTGGCTCAAAGACCACAAGCATTCCCATCCTAATTCCCAGAGCGAAGTGGAATGAGCAAGCTGGGCCAGGGCCAGGCAGTTCAGTGAGCTGAGCCACAGCAAGGCAGCCAGCAGGGACAGAGGCTCAGGCTGCTGCCACTCCTGTTCTTATTCCACTCCACCGGGTTAACTCCGACTCAGAGTGACCCTGTGAGCAACCGAATGGAACACTGCCCGGGCCTGCACCTCCCCACAATTGATAAGGAAGGCCAAATCAGTATGTGCGGTTCCCTGCCCTGCCAGCAGGGTGTGCTACCCCAACATGCAAAAGGGTGGTACCACCACCGGGTCGGCCCTGGAAGGTGGCAGGCCAAGGGGCAGCCCTAATGCCCCTAATTCCCTGGCTGCAGAGAAGTTCAGTGTCCCCGCAGACTCCCTGTTGGCCAGGGTCTGCTCTTGACGGTGGAGAGTGGCCTGGAGTCCCAGCACTGTGGGGACCCACCCAGGGCTCCCTCGGGACAGGGTCCACTTCAGATGAGTCACCTAGTGTCCTTGGGGGTCTAGCACCCCTCAGCAGAGAGCATTCGCCCAGCACTGAGACAACTTGGAACGATACAGCCTAAATCCAAACCTGATCCCACCGCAATCGGCTAGATCCCAACTCATAGGACAGGGTAGAATTGCTCCAGAGGGTTTCTGAAGCTGTACATCTTTAAAGGAGCAGAGAGCCTCATCTGACTCCTGAGGAGCCTCTGGAGGGCT